TAAGGTTTCTCCATAAAAATGTTCAATAGTGGATGTGGGGACCCACAGACCCATCCCCAAAGGACATGATGGTAACATAGGGAGGACTGGAGTCACAGACACACAGCAGGCCCCAAGCCCGGAGCCCTGGGAGTCCCCCAACAGGGACAACCGCACCCCTCAGAGAGAAGCAGAGGGAAGCCCCGGGCAACCCCCAGCAACCACAATGCAGAGATTCCAGGAGGCTGCAGCAACGAGTCCACAGTCCACAGGTCCCGCCGGCAACACGCTCCTCCAGAGTAGATCCGGCCATAGAGACCGAGCCCCAAGTCCCGAGGTCATACCACCCCCCAACAGAGGCCCGACAGAGCCAGGGCACCCAGGCCCCGGCAGGCAGCCACCAGGGCAAGCCGGCACACATCCAATCACCCAGCCCAGATGCCGAGAGCCACCAATGCACTGGCAGCAGGGGGGCCACCACCAGAGGGGAGCGTGATAGGGGAAAGTAGACGCCACATTAAATGGGGGGCCCAATATGATCCAAGAGAGGGGACCACCCAAAACCCAACCTGAGACATAAATAGGCACACACAGACAGCCCGACAGAGCCTCTGTCAGGCTGTCCATGTGCCCCACCCACCTGACAGTGACCACAAGCCAGCCCCAGGCCAGGGGCCAGAGCAGCAGGGAGCAGCAGCAGAGGGAAACTGGCCCAGCACACCAAGGACCAGGTACCCCAAGAGCCCCACACCTCAGGCCTGGAGAAGCCCCGGCACGCCACCTACCCCCCCCCCCCCACACACACACACACACACACACACAGCAACCCCCACCACAAATGTCACACCAGGCCGACCAGCCAGTGCCCCATCAAAGTGAAGCCATGCCCCCTAACGTACGGGTCACAAAGCAGGTCTGTTTAAACCTCCATTAGGACTTTTTTTAGGTGAAGTGTTTTTTTTTTAATATCTAAAATATTTCTGCTTTCGGGATTAGAACGCAAAGTGAAGCACTGGATCAATTGACAGCAGTTGAAGCCTGTGTTTCAGAAAGCAAAAGGAGGCCCGCTGGAGGCATTTTCATTTAAGCCACTCACACACATATATTAATAAAACACAACAAGATAACTAACTTACGTTCATGGGAAGCCGAAACAGTAAGTCCTCTTCTGAAGCAGAGAGTAAAGATGTAAAATTTATGAAACAGAAGCATCCTGATTCCACAAAATTCCTAGAAAAATGAGAAAAACAAAACCAAATTGAACCAACATTAAAACCAGAAACCTGGAAAATGGTAATTTCAATTCTACAAGAAAAAAACTTTGCTGAAAGGAAAGAAAGAAAGAAAAATTAGAAGATCAATTAAAATGTGCTAAAGTATGACAAACAGAGTCCCACTTAAAAAGAGAACAGATTAATAAAGCTAAAGCAGAACAAAAAACTAAATAAGAAACAGAAACTAAACAAAAAACAAAAAATCTCCTGATGCATGCTCAATAATCCAGGTAGAAAAATCCAAAAAAGTTCAATCTGGTCCTCTGGACATTCAAAAAAACAAAGCAAAGCAAAAAAATATAGAAACGTTTCGTCTCTCATCCGAGAGACTTCCTCAGTCTGAGGTGCTGTATTCAGCTCAGTCTCTTAAATAGCACCTTCTCAGAGTGGATCAACCAGTTTGCTGCTGACAACCAAAACCAGCTGATCACATGCTCAAGAAGGACCATCAGCCTAACAATGGATCATTAGCACACTGATGGCTGTTTACTATTCACAGAGGGCTGAGTGATACTAGCAATCACAGCATTGTAAGAGG